ATATATATATATATATATATATATATATATTACTTAAGAATATTATTGTAGTAGTATTCATTCTAATTCTGGTATTATTGTTTTGATATTATATTTTCCCCATCTATTATATATTATATTTTTCCAATAGTAATTATAATATAATAATGGGAAATGGATTAACAAGATTAATTCGTGCAGGGGTGTAATTAGGATTTTGAATTTTAGAAGAAAAAAAAATGTCCTCTCTAGTTTTTAATTCGTGCAGGATAGTAAAATATTATCTTGAAAGATTGTTAAAAACTATACTCCTTCTATCTTTATTTACTTGTTCATTTTTTACGTTGCATACTTATTAAAAATAATAATAACCCATTTTTAACCCATCCAAATTTGAACCAATCCATTTCTGTGCCACTACTACGTGTGAAATACATCGATAATTAATTAATTTATCAATGAATTTTATTTAATATACTATAATTACGATATGTTCAATTGACATCTGAACACATGATAAGATAAATCTAAACACTTTTTGCTAAAAGTTTGTAGAAAAAAAGTGTGAGCATGTTCTCAAACGTCCATTAAATAGATGCTACTAGAAATCATGAAATTAGCTACAAGATTTATCGATAATTACTTGTTAATCAATCGTTAAATAGCTCGTAACTAATTGAATTTTTAAATAATCCACTGCTAATTCAAAAGTGTCTGATTGAACTACTTTTTGACTAGACCACACCATAATTTGAGTATCTAAATGATATATATTGACAAATTTCAAGAGATTATCGATAAATTTTTTTATTTTTTATTTTTCATTTTGGTAGTGGTAGAATCTTTTTTGTCAATTACCCCACTGTCTTGATTTGTGGGTCACTTTATATGATACATATAGCCTCATAAATTTTAAAGTCCTAGGGTCGTTTGGTGGACAAGATGATTTAATTTAGGCATAATTTTTAAGTGGTCATTAATATGTTATTTGGTTGTCAAGGATGGAATAATTTATCCCAGGATTAATAATTAGTCCTGGGATTACCTGGGATAAATTATCCTTTTCTGGGGGTGGGATAGTAATCCCAGGATAACTTATTCTGGGATTAGATAGGTAAAATAACAAAAATACCCTCCTTAAACCCCATTTTTATACACCACTTTACATTCATGTATATTAACATAATTTTTAACAACATTTATAATAAATTCACAACCTTAATTATTCCTTGTTCTTATGATTATATATTTTTCTATTAAAAAATTACATTTTATAAATATAATTTTTATTTATGAATATAAAATAAGTTAAATTTATTTGCTTAATTCTTAATGCTATTTATATTTTGATTCCTCTCAAAATGTTTACTCCACTACTAAATTGCATATTTTTAATTAAATAGTTTATTACTCACTTAAAAATTATATTTTATATATCAATTAAAATGTAGATAACTTAAATAATAAATTTTCTTTTACTTTTAATAAACTTAAAATGGAAGTTTTATTTTTAAGCTAAATAAGATGAATGTTTTATTTTTAAATTAAATAAGATGAAAGTTTTATTTTTAAGCTAAATAAGATTGAAATTTTATTTTTAAGCTAAACAAGATGGAAGTTTTATTTTAAAGTTAAATAAGGTGAAAGTTTAATTTTAAAAACACATGGCACAATCATGTAAATGCACACCCAAAAATATTTAAGCTAAATAAGATGAATTTTTTTATTTTTAAGAATGAATAACTAAAACTTACAAATAAAATGTAAAAAACAAAAAAAACTAAATAAGATGAAGGGTATTTTTGTAAACAAACAACTTATTCTTAGAAATTATGCCATGAATATAAGTTTGAATATGACAAACTAAACGAGCAACAAAAATTAATCTCAGCATAACTAATCCCAGCATAACTTATCCAGTATAACTTATCCCAGCATAACTAATCTCAGCATAACTAATCCCAGCATAACTTATCCAGTATAACTTATCCCAGCATAACTAATCTCAGCATAACTAATCCCAGCATAACTTATCCAGTATAACTTATCCCAGCATAACTAATCTCAGCATAACTAATCCCAGCATAACTTATCCAGTATAACTTATCCCAGCATAACTAATCTCAGCATAACTAATCCCAGCATAACTTATCCAGTATAACTTATCCCAGCATAACTAATCTCAGCATAACTAATCCCAGCATAACTTATCCAGTATAACTTATCCCAGCATAACTAATCTCAGCATAACTAATCCCAGCATAACTTATCCAGTATAACTTATCCCAGCATAACTAATCTCAGCATAACTAATCCCAGCATAACTTATCCAGTATAACTTATCCCAGCATAACTAATCTCAGCATAACTAATCCCAGCATAACTTATCCAGTATAACTTATCCCAGCATAACTAATCTCAGCATAACTAATCCCAGCATAACTTGTATTCAAACCAAACGACCCCTTATTGTTAAGTACACACGTGATGTTGTACGTGTTTTTGGTACGCGAGATAAGGTGGAATTCTTAATACTATAGTCTATAGTTTGTTAGTTTTGAACATGACATTTAAAACAACTACTTTAAGATGATAAAACTCACTTTAAATGTGTTATAAATGTTGTACTCTCTATGTTTTATTTTATGTGACATTATTTAACTTGGTACAATATTTAAGAAAAAAACTTTTAAATTTTGTGGTCTAAAATAATTTCTAGATATTTGTGTAGTTGAACTATTTCATTAAGAGTAAAAGAGAATTTTAAAGTTAAATAGTTTCTAATAGTAAAGTAACATTCTCTTTTGGGACGAACTAAAAAGGAAAAAGTATCACCTAAAAAGCTATATGACGTATTCATCAAAATAATACATTATATTACAATTCAATACAACACAACATAACATATACAATATAATATATTGGTGTATGTACCACAAATTACAGTTGAAACTAAAGTGAATAAGAAAATATTCAGCTTGATGCGCGGATATCTTGTGCTCTTTAATAAGATTCAAGTCGACTATTATATATAATAATCAACATTGATCCAGTAATATAATTTTTTACCTGTCCCCTCTAGGTTACAACAAGTCAACAAGGCCGTGTGACTCAAACAACTCCGGATTAGTTAGAGAGTCCATAGCTCCTCCAATAAAACACTTTCCTTTAATATAAAATTTCTCTCAACTCTCTCTTCCACTACACTAACTTCAAAATATAAACACGTACAATATAATATTTTTCATCCACTTCTCTCTTTTTTTTTCTCTGTTCTTCTATCTCAACAAGTGGAAGAAAACATATTTTATATAGGTGTATGGTTTCTTTCACAAATATATGTCAAGACTATGGATAGTCATTTGAGGATTAATGGAAAAAATAGAAGAATAGATTACAAAGAATTATGTCACCATTTTCTCCCATTTATGCCTACTAATAATCATGCACTTGATATTTTAATTTCTAATATTAAAATGCTCAATAACATCAACACAATACATCATGAAATCATAAGCAATAAGCATCCAAACATAACTTCAAAATATACAACCACTCATAGTATTTATTAAAATAATACAGAGCGAAATAACGTAACACAACACAATATGTTATTAAATCATAATTATTGTACTTGCCTTCCATTTATTATTTCCTTATTTGTTTATAGCCTCATAAATTTTGATGTGTTATTGTGATGTCCTTATCAATCAATAAACACATGATGTTTCGTATTGGAGGGGAGTTGTTCCCTCAAGCTGCAGGGAGAATCACACATTTTCGATGAATATTCTGTTAGAAATTCCATGTATACTAACAGTACTCTGACAAAAATGTTCATAGGCTCCAACAAATATCAAAATTCATTTTTCAGTTTTGCATGAAAATATTATATATGTAGGTAGTTCCATTTAATATTCGAGAAACATAGGTTAATTCCAACAAATATCAAGATTCATTTTCAATTTTGCATGAAGAAATTATACCTATATCTTTTTCGTATATTCCAACCTTGGATATATTCTTCACAAATATCGTTTGGTATACGTCAAATCCTCTAAAACCTATTTTTTTGTTTTTGAAGGATCCAATAATATTTTTGAAGATTTCGAGTATCACAAATTTCAACAAAGTAATAAGACTAGATAAAAATAAAATAAGTAACACTTACTTTGAATAAATCACCAGACAAAACTGCATAAGAATTTGGTGAAATATTGACATCAATCCACTCTCCATTTTTGTTGATTTGCAAACCATTGACTTGATTTTGTGATATAAAAGTCAAGAAGCTACCATCTGTGTGGCATTCAATCCATCATGTTTAATATTATTTTCATGATCTCCACTAATAATTGATGATCCCTTGTAATGTGTAAATCTAAATCTCATATAATTAGGATCCAACAATTCATCAATATGATTTTCTAATCCCAAATTCTCCAAAATCATCCTTTTCAACAATTCATCCAATTCCATAAGTGGATTTGAGTAAGCTTTTACCAAATTGCTGCAAAAATTTATCACATCACAAAAATAACTTTATCGCTACTCCACGACTCTAATCAATGCACAAAATAATTTTATTTTAAAAATAAAATAAAGTAGACATACCAGAAATCAGGATTACCATGAGGCCAAAAGATATTAGCAAAAGTTTCAACATTTTGAGGATTAAGCAAATCAGGAATACACAAACTCCCATAAAATGGCAAGTGTGGAATCATTCCTAAATAGCCATGTAATGGTATTTCTGAATAATTTTTCACTTTGGTCTCTAAAGGAAATTCAAATATTTCTTTTGAAATACCAAAAATACCTTCTCTAATTTCATTTGGAATTTTATCATATATTGCTTCAAAACAACCATATTCTTTTAAGGGAAAATGCATAAGTACCCCCAGCCTATGCCCAAAATCTCTGAGACACACCTAATCTTTACTAAGGTCCTATTACCCCCCCGAACTTATTTTTTAATTAATTTTTTACCACTTTTCGGCTTACGTGGCAATATAAACCAAATAGGTTGAAAGCTTTGTTCAACACGCGCAAGGAGGGGGATAGAGAGTATATATAGACAAATAAATTATCACTTGTATTTTAAAATTTGTACAAGACAAATTATAAGAGACTAACACCTTGTTTGGATGGTTTGCTACGCACTGTATTGTACTGTTAATTTAAATACAATGTTTAATTTGATAGTTACTTAAATTTATTGTATCGTATTGTTTAAATTTGTTGATAAGTAACGACGAAAAATATCATTTTATGTAACGATCAATTTGGTGCTGATCGTGCCGTTACCTTAATTTTTTTTTTTCTTGTTTTATCTATACTTCTTATTTAATAATTTTAGGGAAAATGCATAAGTACCCCCACCCCCCCCCCAAAACCTATGCCCGAAGGCACACTTATATTGTACTAAGGTCCTATTACCCTCCTGAACTTATTTTATAAATAATTTTCTGCCCTTTTCTGCCTACGTGGCACTATCAACCAGATAGCTTAAAAAAATTGTCAACGCGTGCTGGGCCCAGAAGATAGTGCCACATAGGCCGAAAAGGGGATTTTATTTTATTTTTGAAATTGCCATCATCAAGGTTTGTCACCCGATGTCAGGGGTCTGGCTAGACCCACGTCTTTCCCATTCATTCAATATAATTTTATTTTATTTATAGATTAAAAAATATTATAACTTTGTTAATATATTTTTAGTTAGTTTATA